GAGGAGATGATTTTTTGACCAATTAAATTATAATATTTTTAAAACATTATAATTTGTAAAATGTTATAAATTAATTAATCAAAAAAATTTTCCCTCCCCTCCCCTCCATTCCCCTAAAATCTAAACATACTATAAAAAAAAGTTAAAAAATAATGTTATTTTGGGACAAGGAAGTATATATATATATATGTATATTTTTTTACTTAAACACTATTGACATCCATTAATTTGAATTATGAACAAAATTTTGTATCTACCTTATCTCTTTCTATTAATATGATTAAGTACATAAATTATCCTTAAATTCTAGGTTGAGAAGCACAAAAAGAAAAATTAGGGAATTTAGGAAATTTTGTGGTGGTAGTGATTGTTGGGGTGGTCTCTGTGTTTTAGAAAGGATTTAGGGTTTCAAGCGATGGTCGATGAACAAAGGATCCCATTTGGGGGGGATAAGATTAGGTTTGGGGATAGGAGAATGGATACTGGAAATATGGAAGAAGAAGATGAAAGATATTTTAGTTATGTAAGTTTTAAGTTTATTTTTTTATTAAATTGTCTTAATCAGTATTTCTTTTTAAGTTTATTTTTGGCATCATCATCCACTTGTCTAATTTTTCAACAAGTTATAGTGATACCTTCATTTAACATGTCATGTTAGTTAAAATTTAATAAATGGATCAAAAATGGGCTAAATTTTTAAAATTTAAGGAACAAAATAAGAATTTTTTAAGTTTAAGGACTAAATTAAAAGTTCATACAATAATTAAAGGACTAAATTAAAAGTTTAACTTAAAACAAAAGTCCCTTTTATAATAATAAGGATAAACTGAAATAATAGTATTTAATGTTTTGTTCAAACTTCAAAGGTATGTTTAGTTGCAGGAAAATAGAAGGATGAGAGAATTGTTTTGACTAATGAAATTATATAAAGTTGGATAATAATAAAATATGATTAAATTAAAAATTTATTTCTCTTTTTCTTACTATTCTTCTCAAATTAAATATATCTAAATAAATATTTAAATGAAAATGACAATAAATTTGCCAACTAATGAGCAATTAATATTGCCCGGTATAGTTGAGTCTGACAATGCCTAGCTGAGTAAAGTTCTTCGAGATGGAACTCATTGATATTTCACATAAAATCCATCAAAATATGTGTTGACACTTGACAGCGTAATTGATTGTAGAATCCTCCACAAAACTTGCTTCAATTTAATTACCCTTTTCCTGGGATTTAATTTCAGTTTTTCCCACGACTCCCACAAACGCAAATGCTTCCCTAACCAGTTCTTTCCCCCACTTTTATTCCCATCATTATCACCATCTTCTCTTCCTCCCTCCGTCTCCCACCATGTTACAGCAAGAATTTGATCGCAGAGTGTCCTCGTCTTCCTCCATTTCATTGCAGTAATCTAGGGAGTGTTCTTTATCCTTTTTGGACCGACTCCACTCTCGACAGCATTATCGTCATCCCTACGGATTCCGCTTGATGAAATGTGAAAATCCGATTCCCATCATCGACCTCGGCCAAGATGGATTATTCCGCCTGCTGCGCATAAACAAATTTAGTAACAAATGTTACTTGCTCCGCTTGATACCTTAGAAAAACCCCGAAGCAGAACCCACCGAAGCACCATTTCTTGAGACACTCCGAATTCAACCGAAGACTCACTCTGTTCTATAACCGTATGCCTACAAGCTTTACGGTACCTCCTGAAAACTGGATTGAGAACCTTGTTCCCATTTCCATGATCCATTTTCTGCTTGAATGGGATGAGAACAGTGAGCTATTTAAGTGTGGTACTTCTGTTGAACTAGAAGTTTCTTGGGTAGTGTTTGAGAGGTTCCAGAATAAGAGGATAAGACTGGTCGAGGCTTTAAGAGCAGGATTTGATGTGGAGTATAACGTTAGAGGGGTTTTGTGTGCACACTGCAAGGGTTTAGGTGGGATATGCGAATTCAATTTCAGTTCATCAGGGCCGTATACAACATGCCACCAGCCTCAAGGTACGCATCATGCTTAAAGAAAAAGCTTTGGTTTTCAGTTTTCACTTTGCGTTTTTCTTTGAATTGAGTAGCTTATTTTATTTGGTGCACCTAACTACCCATATAGAATGAAAAAAATGATTTACTATAATAAAAGAATGAAACACGGGGAATCAATATGTATCTATTGACTTTATGATTATTTTATAGAGTTCTTGCATTCAATCTTTTAACTTTTAAGTGAGGGCTATCCAGAAAGTCTTTTTCATGGTTTTTCATTTTTTTGATGGTACATTTTCATGGTCTTTGTTTGAACATGTCAACACGATTAGCTGCATTTAAATCAAACCGACGTGACATAATTCAGAGTCAACACTGAGCGGCCATCTTTGTCTTTGTTCTAGTAGTCGGTCTTACGCTGTCTTAGAAAATTAATTGATTCAAACTCTCAGACCTTTCTTTGGTGAAGATAGAATTGTTTCCTTTACTTACACGGAATTATGAATTTAAAACACAATTTCTCACAGTTTCCGCTTAATTTCCATGAAAATCATAAGCCTATACCTGCTGAATTTAATTAATCCATTCACTTTCACTATTATTGATTTTTGGGAATGGGTCCTCGTTTCTTCTCTTCACCTCCTCTATACTTCATCACCGCCCTATTCCTCATCATTCCATCGTTGTGTGCTGGAGATGATCCCTTCTTCACGGATTGCAGTCGCCCCTTCAACTGTGGAATCCTCAAAAACCTATCTTTTCCTTTCTGGGGAGACACTCGACCGCAGTACTGTGGACAGCAGCGTTACCTACTTATATGCAACGGAATGGGTTCGTACCCTGGTATATTCATCAATTGGCGAGAGTTTATACTACTCGGAATTGATCAATTAGCCCGACCCCAGATGATGACCCTTTCGCGAACACTTCCCTGTCCCACTACTTTGGATTACGGTCTGTTTTCCCCTGCTAAAACAGTTGTGAATATGACTCTGTTCAGCAGCTGCTCTGAGTCTAACCTCTCAAGGGTAAGAATAGAAACTTCACGTAGAATTAACTGCACCACTGATGGGGAATCGGGCGCCTCAAAGTTCTCTCTGTTCTTGAGGGATAACGAAACGAATCTTGTGAGTTGTCAAGAAAAAGTGGAAGTTCCAGTTCCAAAGGAGGCTCTTGCTGAATTTACTTCGGGAACTCTGAATTTAAGCGGAACCTTGATGAGACAGTTTAACGTGCAAGATCTTAAAGACAATGACTTCTGTGAGAGATGTTTGCGCTCGGGTGGAAGATGTGGATCTAACCGGATTTCTCCAGAGTCATTTGCTTGCTACTGTCGCGACCGACCTTACAATATAGAATGCGGAGGTAAATGCTATGCACTGCACAATAATCTTCTTTTCAATTACTGCTCTCACTTTGTTCAAATTGTTAGTTAATTAATAGTTATTAATCCATTGAAAATTGATTGAAATATTTTCGCCTAATTTGTTTAGTTTCTAGTCCTTTTTCACTAAGATCCTGTTAATTTTTGCAATTAGTTAATTATTAGTTATTTCAGTAATCCTCTCTCCTGTTCTTCAAGTTTCATTCTCTGCGACCACTGGTTCATGATAAGTTTCTAGCTCTTTAATGATCTAATCCATTTGACATTCACTGCATTGGTAATGTAGTCCTCTTCCCTGTCTTGAACATATTTCAATGGTCCCATTCATAGGAGCCTAGAACACGGTAGTTGACTGGATATCTGTGTGCGTAGTACTTCTACCAAAAACAAAAAAAAATCTGTGTGCGTAGTACATTTTTCATTCTTCATGTTAATATTTCTTTTTGGTCTTTGATTAGCAGCACCATTCTTCTTTTGTTGTTGCTCATTTGCACATGAATTAGAGCTTCTCCTTTGAAATAGAAGAGCTAGAGTGTGAAATTTATGAAACAGAGAGTTACTTATAGGAAACTGAAAATTGGACTCCTCTAACACTCCGTAGGGCTTATTTTGAGATTGGTGTATGCAATTGTGCTGCAATTTATGTTTTGGGTTTATTATAAAAAAGGGTAGGTTCAAAAAATTTATTCTGAAATAAGCAGTTTTCAAAAATATTTCAAAAAAAAAGTCTTATAATACATAATAATTCTGAATTAATACTTTATGATGTCAAATTTACCCATCTCCTAAATTAATATCCCTAAATTTCCTAATTCCTGTACCCTGTGATAAAGCAGTTGTTCTCTCCATAGCATTCCAGAGCTTTGCAGCTCGGTATTGGCCCTTGATGAAGGTGACATTGCACATTTTGTTCTTAAACAAATGAAATCTCTAATTCACAAAACCTAATTTTGTGGCTGAAACAAAGCCAATTTCCTTTTCTCATTCAATACCCAACCCAAGACAATGTGCAATCACAAAATCACCTCAAACCCATCTAACAAAAACTGCAAATTGCCCAAAACCATGAATTTCAGAAGAACAAAAATTCAACAACCAATTAAATACAAGAAAAAGAGAACTATTAATTGGGATGAAATTTAGGGATCTTAATTGGGGAGTAGGGGCAAATTTGATATCAAAAGGTATTAATTTGAGATTATTTTGTATTTTAATACTTTTTAAAAATATTTTTAAAATCTCCCCTATTTTGAATTTATTTTTTTAACCCACCCTTTTTAGGAATAAACCTTATATATTTTTTAATATTTTATTATTGTAAAATATATAAAAACATTAGGGGTGTTTATCGAATTTTAATGTTTTTAAAATTAAGTGAATTTAATCAATTAATAACACCAACAAGTTAAATAACTTAGTAATCATCTTCTTTTGTTAGAAGTAAGAGTAAGAGATTCTGAGTTTAAGTCGCATGACATGCGGGTGGGATGTGATAATGAATAAAAGATAGTTGCCTCCCATTGTGCAACCAAAATAAAAAAAAAAAATCAATTAATAACATTTTTAAACTAATTGAATTCACTATTATATTATAATCAAACCAATCTAACTTAAATTGGATTGACGTAGTTCAAGTAAGTTGATTGATTTTTAATATTATTTTAAATATATTTGATTAAGTAAAAAATTTGAACATCTAATTGTAGAAAATACAATTATAAAACAGCAACCAAAACATATAAGTCCTAGTTAAAGCCACTTAAGATGGTAAAGAATTTTAGGAGTAGAGTTTTTTTTTTGTATCAGAGATGATTTAGAGTTACACAAATTTTCAATTAAGTTAATTAAGTTATATTGTGCTTTGATTCATCGAAAATAATTAAGTTATATTGTACAATTATAAAATAAAAATAAAAATAAAATAAAAAATGGATTGCCAATATAATTAGTATTGTAGTACAACAATTAAAAAATATATACTATATAATTAAGAAAAGTACAACAATAAAAGAAATTTCAAAACATAATTTGTATACAATTTGTTAATTATATTTCTATTTTACCAATAAATTCAAAAAATATATTTACCAAAATAAAT